AAGAAAGAAAGAAAGAAAGAAAGAAAGAAAGAAAGAAAGAAAGAAAGAAAGAAAGAAAGAAAGAAAGAGGGAAGTGAATAAGATATGGATGGATGGGTGGATAGAGGGAAGGAGGGAGAGAAAAAGGAGAGGAAGGAAGGACAACAAATCTGGCACTAGATGGAGCTTCAGAGGATGCTTTGAAACAGCACAACAATCCAGAGCTGGAAGGGACCTAAGAGGTCATATAGTCCAACTCCCTGCTCCAGCAGGATACCTTATATTATCTTGGTCATTTTGATGTCTCTAACACAGAGGGGAAATCCCCAGGCATTGCCAACCTCTTCTCCCTAGTAAAAAAAACCTAGGCAAAAAACTTCATGCAGTATTAAAAAGAATAGAAAAGGGGGTTGCTATGTATTGTTTAATGGGCTGCTAAAATGGCAAATGGATGGATAAATTGGCCATGACCGCCAAGCCACTTCCACCCGGTCATATGACTGTCAAGCCACTCCCACCCGGTCACATAACTGCCAAACCACTCCCACCGGATCACAGGACTGCCAAGCCACACCCACAAAATAAGCCATGCCCACAGAACCAGTAGTAAAAAATATTTGAAACCCACCACTGCATTGGAAGTGTTAAATAGAAATATGAGAGAAGATATAGAAATTAAAGGTATGGAAATAAAAAAAGGAACAATATAAACTACAGGCATTCACAGATGATTTGGTTTTTATCTTGGAAGACCTACAAGAAAATGAACTTAAACTAATTAGGAAAATAGAAGAATATTATGAAATTGCAAGACTGAAAATAAATAAAGAAAAACCAAAACAATAGTGAAAAATGTTACAGACATACAGAAAAAAGAACTAATGAGGAAAACAGATAGTCAAGAAAGTTAAATATTTAGGAATTCAATTAATGGGAAGGTGTAACAATTAAAGAAGATAATTATTATACATTGGCACAACAAATTAAAAAGGATTTGGAGAAATAGTAATGATCTACAATTATCATTGATGGGAAGAGTAGCCACTATAAAAATGAATATCTTGCCAAGATTAATATATTTATTTCAAACAATAAATCTGGAAAATTTATTTATTCCAAAACAGGAAAAATATTTTGAAGAATTAAATAAAACAATATTAAAATATATTTGGCAAGGGAAAAAAGCAATAAGAAGTCTGAAAATGTTGCAAGTTTCTAAAAATAGAGGTGGTTTTGGGTTACCACATTGGGATTTATCCACATATTACTGATATAGAGCAGAGGAGGTCGGCAACCTTAAACACTCAAAGAGTCACAAAGGTCCTAAACGGAAGTCCCCCATTCAATTCTGGAACCAACTGAAAGTCCAGTTCCCCCTTATAGTGTCCTTGTAGTGTGATATCCTTTTTCCTCTACCTGTACTAACCAAGAGCCCTATCAATTGTGGTGCTGACCAGCGACAAGGAGCTGCAGCAGAGGGATGAAAGAGCAACATATGGCTCCAGAGCTGCGGGTTGCTGACCCCCGATATAGAGAATGCTACCAGATATAAAGAGGTTTTAAATGAAAAGGGGGAACTTAAAACTAAGCAGGAACTGAGTGAGCAAGGGATTGAGATAACATGGTGGTCATATGTGCAGATACAATCTACATATGAGGATGTTAAAATGTATGGTTTGTATGAAGGACTAACAGAATTAGATCAGATATTAACAAGGACAGCTGAAAAATTAATAAAGAAAATTTATAGCTACTTGTTAAGTATTAAGATGGAAGAGGAACAAGTAAGAGAGATAATGATAGTATAGACTAAAATCTTTAGCTATTTGATTGAGTTAGATCAATGGCAGAAATGGGATAGAAATTATAAATTAACAATGTCTACTGCATGTTTTGTAGATGGCATTTTCCACCCCCAAGGCTAGCAAAGATGTTTAAGGATAAATCTCCAAAATGTTGGAAATGTCATCAGACACTTGGTTCATACTATCATAAGTGGTGGACATGTCAAAAAGTGAAAAAATATTGGACAAAAATACATACATGGCTGGGAAAAATGATAAAACAACATATAGATTGGAAACCAGAGACATTTGTATAGTTGATTTTACATGCAGCAATGTCAGGTAATGAGGATTTAATAGCTGCTAACTGATGTAAGGTTGGAAGCTGTAAATTGTAAACTGATGCAATAAGTATGATTCAGCAATACATGTATCACCAGTTTAAGACTCTGCTGGGGTGGAAACTCTAGTGAGGTGTCTATATATAAGTGGCCATTAGAGGGTATTTCTCTCTCTCATCATGTATCTCATTTCTATCCTTGTGTCCACAGCTGACTGGTAAGGAATTTTATCTACCATGTTTATGTATGTATGTATGTATGTATGTATGTATAAACCACTATTAATTGTATAAAGATTCTGTGTGCTGTGTGCTCTGTATTACTCCTGGGTTTATCTCACATTAATAGTCATGCTACCAAAACTCTGACAAGCGAGAATAGTATTTGTACAACAATAGAAAAGTGAAGATGATGATGTGATTAGAAACATATTAGAATGTGAAGAAATGGATAAGCTAACACTTACAATAAAGGAAAAGAAACTGAATACTTTTTGACATGGGACTTATGACTAGCTGACAAAAACAGGAGCTGGAAATAAGGAAATATATGGAAGGATCAGTGATATAAGGAAGATAATTTGGTTAAACTATTATTATTATTATTTGCAACAACAGAATTGTATCACAGCGCCCAGTTGTTTCGCCGGATTTGGCATTGATTACTAGTCAGGCCCCACCTAGCGGTCTAGGACGTCATAATGTATTTTTGTAATATGCGTGCAGATCCAAGCAGTGNATATTTATCTGGCATGGCTACTGGGCACTTCCTCCTTGGCTGGGGTTTTTTTTGCAGCTCTCTGCAACTGCTGAATTTGGTCCGACAACATCGCGATTTGTTGTGCCATTTGCCTATTTTCAGCCATTAATTGTTCCATAATTAATGAAATGGAGGCTTGTCAGGCAGGAGTCAAACTGTTCTGTCCCCCTTCTCCGCTCGTTAACAGACGACAGGCAGACAAACGTAAAAGGAACTCACTTTATCAGTTCTTGGCTCAGACTGGCTGCAAGCCTAAAAATAACATAAATAAAGTCTCTGACCAGATAACAGAATACAAAACAAAACTCTTACCACCCAATGCACTTCTCCAATTGTCTCCTTGAATAAGGGTTACAGAAAGCAAATCACAAACAAACCATGACCGATGAATGACTGAATGCATGAATGAACGAACCAAGGAACGTTGACTCCTGCAACCAGGGCATGGCACCATCCATCCTTTTATCCCCAGAACATGCCACTAACGAGCCCCAGCTGCAGTGTTAATCTTGCATCCCGAAAAGACTCACAGAAGACATCTGTTGAGTCACAACACATACCTCTGGGTTTCTTACCTGACACTCTTAAAACTCACACCTCTTGTCCCAATCCCAGCCACTATAATTACCCTTGGGGTTGTTACACTGGCTGGGACTGACTGGATTGTTGTTGCTAAGTGATGTGGTTACACAATGTCACACTTTGTGATTGAATCACTTAGCAATGAAAATCACAATCTCAATTGCCATCAGAAGGACTATTTGTAATAGAAGAAGTCAGAGATTTGTTCCTTGACTTATAAAAGCTGTTGTTCCTGGAGGTTCTATCTGTTCTATTTTTTCAGGTTTCTTACCCAACTCACTGTGGCAGAACTTTTGTGGATCACAGGTTTTGTCACTAAAAAGAATGACTGAGGCTTTCAGGTCTCCTTTTTCCTTCTTTGGTGTTTTTTTCCCCTCTATCTCCAGAATTCTGCTAAGGACAGAATTCCTTACTTAATTCATTCTATGTTCGGCACAATTTATTTCAGGATAACTAGCATTTTGTCTGTCTGTCTGTCTGTCTGTCTGTCTGTCTGNTATTTTCTGGGGCATTATTGACAAGAGGAATTGATGCAATTATTGTTTAATACTGTATGATGTATACATGTGAGTGTATGAAAATGAAAATAAAATATACAATACAAAAAAAAAACCAGAAGAAATGAAAACCAGACTACATCAAATCTAATGTTTGATGCTAAGCAATGTTGGATCTAGAAGAAGGCCGACTTCTCTTAACATTTATGAAGAATAACCCAAACAACAAAAAATAGCATACCAATCTGTTTAAAAAAGAAATCTGTCAACATAACCAGAGTAAAACAGATGTTTTTGGTAGAAACTCAAAGTTCCCATTAATTTTTGTGTTATGCCCAGTTAAAACTTACGTCAGCTTTAGTCGTTTAACGTGGCCAGGCATTACAGGTACATACAACATTTTGACTCCCTGGACAACCATGATTGGTTCAATTCCGTATTTTTCCTGTAACACAAACATTAAAAAAAATTCAACTGTATCACATAGAAAATGGAGCAGAAACAAAGGGGGGGAAAGCAATTCAGTGTGATCATTTTTATCTATTTGATATAATCTTTCTTTCTTTAGTAAACACATATTATAAAACAAAAACTTCAGCTGATGATAGCTAATAACTTAAAAGGCAGTAAAGCTTTTAATAAAATCTATCAGAACATTAACAGAACTCTCAATTATTTCTACCATATATTTTATTAAAAAAACCTTACTTTGACAGTATTTATGAAGTCCAATAGTGTGAAATTATCTTTCCCATGAATAGTCCATCTATCCCAGATTGTGAAAGATATTCCATTTCTGTTACAAAATAAGAATAAAAAGCATTTTTGTAAATCCCTAAAATAGTGCTGGGGAATAAGAAATTGCCAAACTGAGCTTTCAAGTTGCACAGCAAAGGAAAAAAATAGTTTTATTTGTTAAATGTTGATAGCTGGTTGCCAAGCCAAAGTCATATTGAATTAGCCCTCCGAATCATTGACTAGATGGGCTGCTATGGNGACCTCTTATCCTCGGCCTTCAGACCTTCTAGAAGATCAGCAGGCAAGTTGGAAGTGGAGGTTAGAGACATTACTGGAGCATCTACCTCTGGAAATTTCAGGGCCTCCTCCATTTTTGCATCCACAGCATAAAGGTCTTGTCCCCCCCCCCCCCCCGGGGTTGGTTAAGGTGCCAGGCTGGACCCAATGATGTTGGACCACGTCCATAAATAGGTCAGGCACCGGAATAAGTTCCTGAGTGGGAACAGCTTCCTTGAAAAGGCCATATTTATGGTCCTTGGAAGACGATGACCCTTGGCCAGAATCTGATTTGGGGATGGAACCTAACTCAGTTGCCGTCATGGCCTTGTGCAGAATAGATTTGAATAGTGACAGCTTAAAAAGGCCAGTGAAGGCCGGCTTGTCTGGGGGAAGATCTTCGTCCTCAGAGAGTACGAAACCTTCACCCCCTTTCTCCCCGGAATGAGAGGAGTCAGACTCAGAAGAGGATGAGGGAGAGGCTTGCTCCTTAGATGTGGAGGCCTTGGCCTGATGCTTGGTTTTGGTTTTTGATTTACGAGAATCTCTCTGCTTGATGCCCTCTGCTATGCCCTGGGAGATAGCTAGAGAGATCACTTCCCTCATTTCTGCAGAAAGTGCTGGACTTTTGCCCTCCCTCAGGTGACCCTTGCTGGTGTGCCCATGGTGCCTAGTCCTGCCTGAGCTGGAATCCCCTTCCCTAGGTAAAGTGTCCTGGAAGGAGTCCCACTCTTCCCTGATAGAAGAGCTGGGCGAATCAGGGTAGCCCCAGGAGGCCTCTGGTGAGGGATCTCTGGACTCAGACCCATCCATAGAGGGAGATCTACTGCCCCTTGGAGAGTGGTCCCCGTGATCTGGAGAAGGAGACTCCCTGTGATGGTGAGGGACTGGGGGCTCTGCCACCTTGTGGGGTCGAGAGGTCTCACTAGTCATGTCAGGATGCCCTGAAGATCTCTGGGGTGACCTATTACTGGTACCCTTACTCCCTTTCCCCTTTTGGGGGAGGGGATCCAACCTGCTTCGCTTGCTGGAGGGTCCTGCCAGCTCCTCCTGTACTTCCCTGCACTCCTCAGCCATGCTGCCTGGGTGAAAGGTAATGGCGATGCTGCAAGGATGGGCACCCACGCTGGCCAGCCGGCTCAAGCGCGATCGCAGAAGCTTCGGGAGAGAGGGCCACCTGATGGACGGAATCCTCCGCCCCACCGCCCTCGGCTCCCCGAGACTTAACTGAAGGAGGGGAAAAGGCTAGCCGGCGCCCCAGACTAGCCCCATGCCCTTGGCGGTACTCTGCAGCTGAGAGGAAAGTCAGAAAGTCCGCTTGCAGCCTGATTCTTCGTTCTTCGCTTCTCGGAGCTCCCGAACGTCCACACGTGACGACAGGCCCTTTCGAGTGATTTAAAATGGCGGCNAGTTTTATTTGTTAAATGTTGATAGCTGGTTGCCAAGCCAAAGTCATATTGAATTAGCCCTCCGAATCATTGACTAGATGGGCTGCTATGGCAGGTAGGTAAATAGGTAGGTAGGTAGGTGGGTAGGTAGGTAGGTAGGTGGGCGGCTAGGTAGCTAGGTGGAGGGAGGGAGGGAGGGAGGGGGAGAGGGTATTAGAACAATTATAGTAACAAAATATTACAACTCCCTCACTATAACTTCACACGAATAGGGAGGAGCCTGTTTCAGGCATTTTTGTAAATTAATTTCTTGGAATGGACTTAAACCACACTTCTCTGATAGTTGGTTTGGTAATGGATCTTTTCATTGTCTATCAAAGACACCCCTTATGCCTCCTACCTTGGAATTGTTACCTATTTCTTTTAATCCAAATATTCATCGTGCTCTGTAGTGTAACACTATGAACACTTAGAGCTTTGTTCCATATAAAATACAGAATGTATGGAATGTTTAGAATTCTACCCTATCAGAACATAACTTTGTGGAAATATTTCAATGAGACATTTTAGGAAATGCTGTTTTTCCCCGTTCCCCCCCCCCCCCCCCGCCCCAAAAAAATTAGAACAAAATATTATTATATATTCTTTGTGTTTCCTGTCTGGCAGCAGGTAATGTTCTAAAATATTAACTTTGCTGATAAACTTTTTTCCAGTTGCATAATAATACTTAATGTATACAGATATTTCATTGAAAAACTGTATATTTAAAATATATCCTGTTTTAATATCTTTACCTTATTTCTGTTTTTCTAACTGCAGCTGTTTCTGAAAAGACAATTATTGGAATGGCCAAGTTGAAAAAACAGTTCTTATATGCTTGAAATGGGCAGACACCTACTACTTTGATCAATTCCAAAGCAACCTAGAGAAGAAAAAGAAAGGAATATAAAACCAGGGAAAACTGACATATTTCAACTGACATATTTCATCAACTAAAATAACATTGGATGTGTGCAACATACATCTATAAACTTGTGTATTTTTGTATTTGAACAAAAATGCAATCTTACTCACCAAGCCAGATACAGCTGCGGTAGAAGTTGCAATAGCAGGGATAATTTTTCCAGCTATACGTTTTGTTTTCAATCTATCTGCAGGTTCAATGTTATACACTTTGGCGCGCAAATTGGAAGCTGCTGTAATAAAGTCTATGTGGCCATTACTGTCATCATCTTTTTCAAAGTTAAGTTCCTTCATCTGTAAATCACCTAATCAGAAACCAAATTTCTTTATTATTTCATAATTATTTTAAATATTTATTTAATTTTCCTTAAGTAAAATGTTGTTTGTACTAACAGTATTTGAAAAGCCATAAAATGGGAAATTATTAGAAATATTAATCAGCTGCAGAAACTTCCTTCTGGAATAAGGAAAATTTAATAAAATGAAGGTATCTTTTAGCAAAAAGGAATAGATTGGAATTAACCATATTTTAAAAACAATGTACTTATAGAAAGAAGAACTCTATAAATAAAATTGCAGGATCTACTTATATCAAGAGGCAACCTATCTATTGTTCTATACAGAACCACTTTTTCATTAATGTAGAATAGTTAAAAACTTAGCATTCTAAAGTCTTAGGAAAAGCAAAAATATGCATTTAACAAAACATGATATGGTCATAAAAATTTAGCTTGTTTAGCTGTTGAAAAACAGACTTACAATTTGAAAGAGTCCTTTATTCTATTTTGATTTTCTTATAGAGTGAGTCATTCCGATTTTATGATTGCAACAATTGTATGCAGTAGTATGTGCTGATAAATGTTTAAGAACCAGCTTCATTAGCTCCATTGGTGCCATCACACCAAGCCATTAGTCACAATACAATTTATTAGCATGCTAGTACCTGAGCTCAGCCTTCTACCAGCTGGCAAAATTCCTACAGTTTTATGAATCAGCTCTTGTGAGCCAGTACGAGCTGTCTCTTAACACATCACTGTGCTTCATTCTTGAGGCAGCCATATTTGGACAAAGACATATGCTAAAGCATTCTATATAGCAATAAAATTAGTTGATCAATCAATAAAAACAAATCTATTTGGAGTGCCTTAAAAACCTTGAAAGAGCTTAATCTGACTACTAATAAATGCTAATTTTATGGAAAACATAAGTCTTTCACCTGTTATATTACTACTAATAATTAACTTTCAAGTACTAAAGATGTGCTAGGTTTCTTAGTGAGAGTTTGCCCTCCAGTAAATTATTGAAAGAAGCCAAATTGTGTGCCATATCTGAAGTCAAATCCTCTCTGATCTGGCATTCATATAAAATCCCTTTTCCTGAAAATCTTTTATTCTCTTTTCCTTTCCATTGTGGCTCTTCCTTTTTTCTACATATTTATCAATTGTTTGATGTATCTTGATGTAAATTTTATATAACTGTTTTTAATGTATACATATATTGAGTGGATGAATCTGATTAAAAATCAATTTTCTATATTTCTAATAATGGATACTAACTTTTTGTAGCTTTGTTGGCCAAGATAGCACTCTCCAATTGAAGAAGAGCATTTCTTTCATCCTCACTGCTTACAGGAATAGGATCAGGTTTCCGTACTGCTTCATCTGTTTGTACAACCTATAAACATTAACAATAAATAGTACAACAAATATTTTATTTAAATTAATTGAGAAAAAGATTACTGCTTATTATAAAATATAAAAATAAAACATCAGGGGAAAATACTATTTTTCATTGCAGTACAATGTAAAGTAACACATTTTGGGATTGACACTAGGTATAAAAGCAGCAGACTACTAGAATATGCCTAAAAGCCAAGTACCAAAATTATGACTCATGCTTTAGGGAAGACTCAGATATATGGTAATTCTCAACTTATGACCTTAATGAAGTCTGCAAATGAGTGAGAGATCTACCTGCTGAAAGAGGGCACCTCCTTTCCATGTGGAGAACTAGTGTTTACCCAGCCGCTTGGAGAACAAAATACTGCTTGCCAAAGAAGGAGTCTCTTCTTCAGGTAGTTATTTTGCTCTCAGTGAAGCTGAATGAAGAAGTCCCTCCATGAGGGATCTTTTTCAGCAAGCCTCTTCAAGAGCAAAATGCTGCTTGCAAAGAGCCCAGATCGCAATCATCTAACCACGGGGGCATTCCAACAGCCATTACTTTGAACCCCTTTATTAAGCTGATCAGTTACAAAGTTGATGCGTGCCGGCATGGAATTTTTATAAATGCAGAAAATGGCATCATGTATGAACTTAAAGAACGTTTGAAAACAACATTATTATATCAATCAAGAAGGAATTATGCATTAATTATTTGGCTAAATAAATATAACCAGTTTATTATATCTATATACATACATACATACATACATACATACATACATACATACATACACACACACAAGTGTGTATGTATTTATATGGCTGCCTAACTTAATAACTATGGGTGGCTCACAACAGCAAGATTTGTGAGCAAGTTGCGGCCCTCACAGTATCGCTGGAGTCATCTGACTGTGATTTAGATTCTGGCTACTGACTCACACTTACAAAGGTTGTAATGTCCATGGATATTTGATTATCATTTACAACCTTCTCTACAGGCTTCCTACAAGAAAAGTCAATGAGGAAGATAATAAGTTATTCTGCTAAGTACCCTTAGCCTTTTTGCATTCACATGCTACCACTCTGCCCATACCCCAGCCTTCCTGTGCTCATGCCAGACTATTCATTCCCTGGCTTTTCTATATGCCCACTGTGATATCCTTGCATGCTCTCACTATATGCCATCCACTCCACAATCTTAGACATGCACCCTGCTATCCACACACTCAGCCTTCTTTCACCCTTATCATGCTGTCCAAGCACATATTCTCCTTCACTGAGATGCAAACTGAACCCAGCTTCCCAAGCTTTTCCTCAACTTATACATGCCCTGCACTCTCCTGGGATTTTCTCCTCCCCTACTCCACTCATATCTGTTCTGTCCCCCCTTCTCCGCTCGTTAACAGCGACAGGCAGACAAACGTAAAAGGAACTCACTTTATCAGTTCTTGGCTCAGACTGGCTGCGAGCCCAAAAATAATATAAATAAAGTCTCTGACCAGATAACAAAATACAAAACAAAACTCTTACAACGCAATGTACTTCTCCAAGTGTCTCCTTGAATCAGGGTTACAGAAAGCAAATCACAACCAAACCATGACCGATGAATGACTGAATGCATGAATGAACGAACCAAGGAATGTTGACTCCTGCAACCAGGGCGTGGCACCATCCGTCCTTTTATCCCCAGAACATGCCACTAACGAGCCCCAGTTGCAGTGTTAATCTTGCATCCCGAAAAGACTCACAGAAGATGTCTGCTGAGTCACAACACTATCCCC